ATGCGGCACCCACGCCCCCCTTATGTCCCCACCACTACTACCAGTCCCACCCAAGACACCCAGACGCCCCAACCCCCAGTCACCACCCACCAGGAGGTCCTCACCCCAACCACCACCACCACCCTCGACTCCTACACCCTCCTCAACCTTCCTAAGACCACCTTCGACACCTACACTCCCCTAAATCCTTCCCTCACCACCTTCGACACCTACCCCGTGGGGGGTGCTCAGGGGGGACCATTTTCGTGGGAGGGAGTATCACCTGATCCCGCCCTCACCCCCTCCCTCAGTCTATACGGGTCCCCAGGGCTGCCCGCGCCCTCTCCCCGCCCAACCGCTACGCCGGAGGCCACCTACTCAGGGTACACTCAGAGCGCCGCCCACAGCGTGAGTGTGACACTGGCCGACCTGTCACTGGCCGCCCCTCACATGTGCCAGGCACCACCAGAGTACACCCGCGGTTCCTACGAGCCCCCCCTCTACCCCTCCCTGGCCCAGCTGGCCGGGGACGACCTGCCCTCCACCTCTGACTGGTCCAGCATCAACGTGGGGCTGGAAGGTTGGGGCACAGACCCCCTGCAGCAGGCCTGGCCCTCCACCTCCCACGCCACCCATGGGGACCCCGCCCCAACCTGGTCGTGGCCCCCTCAGGCCCCAGGGCCACAGGACCCCTGGGTCCCACATTCCCAGGTGTGTTCCCTGCCCCAAGACCCCGCAGCCCTGAGTCCGGCCAGTAGGGAGGTGGCACAAGGACTGCCTCAGGGGAGCGCCGCGCCCCACGGCCGCCGCTCAGCGTCTCGCTCACCGCTCAGTCCGACGGGCGCTAAGCTGACCCCCTCACCCCGGGGGGACCTCCCGCCCCGCTCCCCGCTCGCCCAGCCAGCCTCCCCACACGACACCCGCCACGCAGATCGACGTCGCTGGCGGCGACGACAGCAGCAGCAGGAGGAGAAGTATCAGCAGGAGGGAGAAGAGGAGGGAGTGTGGCGGGGGCGTGGCAGCGGGTGGCGGCGGTGGTTGGGGCGACCCCGCCGCTCACACAGTCTGGTCCACATGGACAGTGCGGGAGGAGCGCGCCCGGTGGAGGGGCCCAGTCCCCCTAGAACTGCCTCCCCCGCCCTCCACGCCCCTCACAGCCCCAGACAACAACACACGCCACGCGACGAAAGTCAAGACGACGACGAAGACGACGACACCGAAGAGGAGGAGCGACCAGTGTGCGTCCCGCCAGGTGAGTCACCCCAGTTTGAACTGTTTGAACTGCGCGCGCAGCCGCTCTTTCGTTGGCTATGTGAGGTGCAGCTCAGTCCTCACTGCGTCCTCCATCCTCACTGGAGGTGTGGCACGGTGCCTGGCGTGGCCGGGATGATCACAGCGACCTGCAGCACCAGGTGAGGCCGACCACGTGTTGGTGCGTGGCAGCATAACGTGTGGTGTGCGGCAGCTGAGCGGCTACTAGCTCCGCCCACGTCATGTGACCCGCCCGCCGCCCTCCGCCACGCCCTCCACCCTCACCCTCACGCCCGCTCTTGTCACATTCGTTACATATCTAACACGTCTTCTCGTATAGGCTCACGTAATACTGGTGAAACGTTCAATTGGCCACTTCCTGCATACGCTAGCGGATGCTGTCGGCCCAGAGACCGTTGGTTACCTTCCAGGAATCCCAGACGGCATGTGTGGTGGGTCGAGGGTGGGGGGGGGAGGGGGGGAGGTGTGGCCGCGCCGGGGTTTAGGGACCTCGTACATGGGACTTGGTAAAGTTGACTATATACATGCTGTGCCTCATGTCACGTGTGTAGTGTGGGAGCGGGTTATTAAACATAGCGTGTGTGTGTGTGTGTGTGTGGCCAGTAAGACGGTGTCTGGCTCACTCGCCGCCTTGTCTTTGACGTATGGTAGGCGGTAGCGGGCGTCTGGTGTACCTGCTAGCGCTGGGACAATTACTGCTCCTCGGTGTGCCCTCCTACACGCCACCACTCATTCATATATTCACCTTTACTTTTTTTATATTACGATGCATGTTGAGTGAGAGCCCTTGTGAGTGTTGTAGGGAGGCGGTGAGAGGGTTAAGGACGCTGCTGGTGTTGAGAGCTCCTGAAGAAGGCTGCTACTGGTAGGGAGGCCTTTGATGGGTATTGTGAGGGGAGGGAGGCCACGTAGGGTGCTGGCCAGCTACCACCACCCCCCCTCCCCCTTAACACAAGCACCATGATCTGGTCACTAGGATGAGGGTCCCGGCAGGTAATTCTCTCCCATCCACGGATTACCGGAAACTTGCCCCCGGCTGGTGTGATGGAGGCCCCGGAGAGGGTATACAGGAGGCCCCGGACAGGGTATTGAGGAGGCCCCGGAGAGGGTACTGAGGAGGCCCCATATAGGGTATACAGGCCCCATACAGGATCCTCCAAAGAAGCTCTACTCATACCTCCATCTTGGGGCCGGTGAGGACGAGATCTTGTCGTTGTTAGCAGTACGATACGTTTTCCTATCTTAATCA